TAGACATTTTAGTTGATTCTGCTGTTGACTTTGCCTCTGGGGGCATTGGCCAGTGTTTTAGGGGTCCAGGGTAGCCAAGAGATATGTGTAAATCTGTTCCAAGACTTCCTGTTCCATGTGTCAAGTCATTGCATTGTTTATTTTCACACTGTAAATAAAGACACATTTAAGCTGAACTGTCAGATAAAAGCAGGACTTTCGATCTGCATGCAACCAAACACGTTTAAATGTTTTTGGTCCCTACTCGTGAAATTACATACCGAAACCAGGAAGTTACCAGTGCTAAAAAATGCTATCTCTACAGATTTGGGATCTTTCTCTGGTGGACAAAAGTAGAAAAGTAGAAGCCTTAATGATTTTTAAGTTATGTCACGATTAACAGCAGCCTAGAGCTACAGGTTATGCTACCTATAAAAAGTCTATCAACTCTATAAATCTTTTTTGTGTGTGTATGCCAGTTTTGGCAGAGCAGATAAGCTTCAGGGCAATAATTGGTTACAAATTGCAGAACATTTTTGAATTTTAATTTTCTACTGTTCCAATATGCCCCTCTGAACAGCTTCCACAGCAGGACCAGCAATACCAGTAATGCTTAATGTTTAATGCAATATGTAGGCAAAATGATGGATACTGTATACCATAGAGGTTGCATAAACGTAGGGTGTTGTTACATTGTCAGAGAGAGCCATGTTTTTGTAATGAGTAATATTACCACTTTGCAATCCTAGTGAATATGGTTTCCAGATTTAGACTGAGATTGTTTTCTTCCTGCTGTTCCTTATCTTTATTATGTAGAAATACAAAACTTATCACTGATACAAGTAGAATCTATATTGGTACATAAATGCTTATTCACTATGCACTGATTTATGGCATTCAGTGTTGCCTAAACTGTAGTGGTGTGAAGGACAAGGAGCTCAGATGGTACTTGACACTATGGTGCTTGAGTTAATGTTGCTTGGTTCACACCACTATAAACTTGTCTAAAACAGTTGTGGATGCATGTGTCCTCTTCACTTGTTTTTGTACCGTTGATGGGGTTTTGCTTGTCAAAGAGTCTCCTTGAGGCTGTCAAAGGCGTTGTTTTTCCCATTTCAAATCTTAACATTTTCAAGATCGGAGAGAATTGCTGTCAAAGTCACTTTGGAGTGTGTCCTTGTGGGCTTTTGTTGTGCCAGTCATCAGGCTAAGAATGGCTGTCATTTGGATTGCTCTTGATTGATGTATCCACATATGTGAAGCCTGTATCCCATCTCAGTGAGGACCTGCATGCATGTGAGGGGCACGGCCTCATCAAGTACGCAGATAAAAAGAACAGCATGCCATTCGTGTTGGAAAAACCACAATTGTTATGAATACATTATTATATGGTTGTCTGTCAAAGAGAGAGTTGTGGTTCCAAACAACTGGGCTCTGGGATATAATAAAGAGGAAGAATTGTGTTGATTTGTTTTAGTGTGATGGATAGAAGGAAAAAGGGAAGAGCTGGAGTTGTGACAGGCTGGTAAGAATATGTCTGAGATCTGCTAAGAACTGAGGAAGGTCATCTGTTCCCTGCGGCCAGCAGCTCAAAGGCTGTGGAAAAGCATTCTTTTAGGAGCACTGACAATGCCAAGAAATGCTTCACTGTGAAACAGCATCAGGAAAAAAGTACATTTAGACTCTTTAATGTCTAGGATAAAACTGGTCTTGTGGCTGTTCTTTCAGAGATGCATAAATGAAGCCAAAATGTTAAAAAGTGCAAATTTTACAACCAGACTTTTGCCCAGTTTTAGCACCAGTGCTTCTGTTGCTCTAGATCAATAAATCAGTGCTTTCTGCTCAAGGGTCCCTAAGATTATCAATGCAGCAGGAAAACAAACAACGATCTTTCTTAGATTTCTAGAACCCTGGAGGGCGCATGGCTCTACAGTTGGAAATTGAAAGGTATTAAATATAGGATGGATGGATTGCTTTGAAATTTTGTAAAGATATTTTTTTTGTCTCTAGCGGGGGAATATTTTTGACTTGACTACCAAAAGGTTTAACTTTAAACTTGAAATATCTGTCTTTTAGATGGATTGCCACAAGATACCCTACAGGCTTGCTTTACACTTTTCTTTCTGCACCATAATGAAACTGAATCTGCAGTTTTGAGTACAGTATCTTTTGTCATTGGATCAACTGTGCATGATATAAAGTTTGCATGTGTTCCCCAGCTACTCTGGCCTCCTCTCAAGAGGGTTTATTGATAGAATAGTCAGCAATCCTTGACCGAAGTCTTGTTAAAAAACTTTTTAAAACAACCTCTGTGCTTTGAGGGTCGGGAACTAGAGTCAAATTTATCCCAGATTCAAATCTTTGGTGCACTTGAGCCACAAATCGCTCAGTTTATTCTTAGAGTGAATATTGTGCACCTTCCATCAACCAGTCAAACACAGTAATGCTCTGTAAAATAATAAAACACTGACTACACATGCTCAGTATGTAATAGATTTTTGGTTATTTTTCTTAAGAACGCTGCTAGGGAAAGCCAGAATTATTGCTTTATCCAGTCACGGATCTGTATCACGTTTCTGTCACCCGCAGGCAAATACACACACACAGTCATATTTCTCAGTACACAGGCACACCTCTCACCTAGCATTGACTTTATTGAGGCAATATAAGTGGTACAAGCTCTCATTGTGTACACTGGAACATAAAGGAAGGTGAACATGGCCAAAACTCTGCTTTATTAAGACCCCTGTTTACACTCTCTGTTATTGAGTATATAAATAAGGCATTGGGATCTGGTGCCACTTTTACCGCTCCCTTAATGCTTCTGGTGGCTCTTATAACATTCCAGCTAACAAAAGTCACTTGCACATTGCATACACTGCAGTCCTGTCATGCTTCAGTTTTACCTAATGTCTTTCTCAAGCATGTGGAAAAGAAATGAGCCTGCAGACTATTTCCACTAATATAATGCCATTCATAAAAGCAGGAATTAAACCTCAAAGAACACCACATTTGCAAAAGGGTTATTCACTTGTGGACTTTGAAGTCAAGGAACCCAACGCTGTATGGTTGTGAATCTCGTCTCCAAAGATGATGAGGCTCATGCATCAATATAAATCAAAAATCGGCTAACCACAATGTGAACCTGACCTTTCTCTGTCAAAGCTTTCCACAGTTTCCCCCCTTGTCTCTTGTGTTTATTTGTCCATACCTTCCTTAGAGGTTGTCATCTGTTCCCTTACTCAGCATGTCCACCTCCCCCAGACAGTGTGGTTTTCTGGGACTAATTAGAGTAGGAGTGCTTCTCTTGTTGTTCTGTGTATTATGCCGTTCCGTCCTTGCCCAAGCCTGCTTCTCATCATCAGGATGAAGTTGCATAGAAACTGCTGAGCAGGTCACCTCTGGCTCTCTGCTATCAGCTGGAATGGGTCTGTGATGTATTCCAGAGTGGTGGTATCCTCAGAGGGTAACCAGAACAAAGCTCAGCTGGGGTGTGTTGTGCCTGACCTGGCTTACTAATGCTGGATAATAGGCAGACTCAGCAATTTAGATGGGTGAGTCATGTGTAGAGAGACAGCAGGGGACAGAAACCTCAAAAGAAGCGCCTTGAATCTGCTGGAAATAATAATCAAGGATGAGTATATTCCCTTGAGTTTGCTTTATGTTTATGTGTGCTTAGAATGTTATTCAAAATTAAGATGGAGTAAAGTTTCAAGTTCAAAATATTATGCACAGAGCGACCACACGCATAACTTTCCACAAACGCGCTGACATCAAACTCAAACTAAATCTGTCTCTCTGCTGTTTGGAAGTGCTCAATGGAGTATCACTGGGAGAAAACAGAAAGCAAGCAAACAATTGATTTAGTATGTTTGCTCTGAAACAAATGGTTCTAACAACCCCTGCTGTTTTAGTAAGAGACCCAAGCTGAAAAATAACTTCCCCAATGCGGGGAGCTGATTACTGCAGGAACCCTGTTAGCAGTGTCCTCCAGAGGCTCACTATTGCATTCTGGCTCAGTACGTGCTCATAATGTACTATTTAGAAAAGCTGCAGCTTCTGTCTTGCTTAAAGGTAGTAGACTTGCTCGGGTAGTGGTTGTTTTCCCGCCGTTTCCTGTCGGCTCACTTTGGGGACGTGAGTATTGGATTTGGAGACGAATATATTCTTAAATGACTGGCAATACAGCAGCGCCCCAAGTGTTGTAGCCATTCGGAGGCTCAGTTAACACCCTGTCAGAACAGTGAGAGAGGAGATAAAAGCGTGCTGGGAACAATGCCCCAAAGCTACGTCTAATCCCTGCGCTGCATTCTGGACACTGGCCCTGTGTTAGGAGTTATCGCAGCAGCAGCAGCAGCAAGTCAAGCCGTCTTCGCTCAAAACTCTCCATTAGTCAAGAACTACGGAGATTTATGCAGCTCGAGTGTGAGAGTGGGTGGTTACGGTTTTGCCACAAGTTAACAGTTTTCATCGCTTGATGTCTGAGAGTGCCATTTAGTGTTGTTGTATTTATGTCTTTATGGCAGAGGAGAGGGGCTCCATTCTACTGATGGTCTATAAAAAGAAGACAAACATATGTTTGGGAACAGTTAGATATAATGGAAATGGCATTTTGTCAGCGTAGATAATTGTTAGCTATGAAAAACAAATACATTCAGGGAGCATTAATTGCACGCTGTGGTGCAGAAAAGCCATCACATATACAAACGCTGTGATTCTGTTGAAGTGACACTTTATATTACAAGGCAGCTCTACTGTCAGGTTGTGCTCTGACTGATGCTATTAATGAACACCAGGCTCAGGATTTAATAGCGAGGAGGAATTCGCTGTCAGTATTGTTTGAAGAAAATCAGTTTTGAAAATGTTCCTCTAGTTTGTGAACACAGAACACAATGTGGACATTGTCTTTCTTTCTTTCTTTCTTTCTTTCTTTTTTTTGCAGATACTGAGAGAATTTAGAAGAAAGAACACTTTGAAGTTTTCTCTGCATTCTCACTCGGTTTTTATATTTTCTTTTATAGGAAATCCTCCGAGCACTGTTGTTCCACACAGACCGACAGCAAGGCAGAAACACTATGGGACTACAGTACCTCTTCAGCTTGTTGGAAAAGACTGGAAACCAATCAGCCAGCTCAAATCCCAGGTGGACAATAGTAGCCGTTTATGTTTTTACATTTTTTATTTTACTGTTCGTCTACTTTTCAGCATCTGTTCATCGTACAGTGGATCAATTGTCTTTGCATATTAGTATTACTGTGTCACCTGTGACCTAGGAGTGTTTTTATATATGGTGTTGTGTAAGCCTTAAGCCACATCTTATTTCTTTATATTTTGCTAGGAAAATGGGAAATGATATACAGGGCAAAAACAAGAGTTTGTGCAATTTTAACAACCTTGAAAGTCAATATTTGGTATTACCACCTTTATCCTTCAACACAGCCCGAACTCTCTTAGGTAAGAAGTCTTCAGAAATAGTTCTCCAGGCTTCTTGAAGGAAATTCAAAGCTTTTCTTTGGATGTTTGCTTGCTTTCCTGTCAAGCTGATCTACCACTGCTTCAATGCATTGTGGTCCAGGCTCTGAGGAAGCTAATCCATGACTGATAGTGATCCATTGTGTGGTTTTTTGTTTTTTTTTTCCAGTTTTTTTTTTATATTCAGGTATGCTTTTACTGCATTGGCAATATGTTTGGGATCACTGTCATGCTGAAAAATTACATTTCCAATATTCCATATTGAGAATATTTGAACCACCTGATTCAAATGATGTTCAGTCCACTTCTTGTTTAATTTGGCATACCTCAATCTTTTGTTTTCCATTTTCTGTCTTTAAGAATGTTTTTTTTGACAGGCACTCCTCCAAAGGGTCAGAGTTGAGTCTTTTCTTGATTTTTACTTGTTTTTCTCATTTTTAAGGACATGACTACATACACAGTTTATCTGCTATGGATAATTTTTTAGGTCTCCAACTTCTTATTTTGTCCTGTACATTGTGGCTGATAGCTCACCTTGTTGGTGCACAAATCATATTTTTGCCTATTAAACAGTTATTCTCTCTCTTTTTTTATTTTTATTTTTTAATAAATTCAGTGTGCCTAAAGGTGAACATTTTTCTTTTACTAAATTTTCTGTTATGTGTAGGTGCAACACTGGTTTATCCCTTGATTTGCATGCCTTTTTTACACTTGAATAATTCATAGGTTAGGGTTAAGTGCCTTAAAAAGCAAAAGTACATTCCTTTTAAATGGTGAGGTGAGGAACTGGTCTGAAAATGAATACAAAAATCAGCCAATGTTCAAAGTCTCAGGATCAACTGACACCTATCAAAAAAACAAAAGTGCAACTCGACTCCTAGTACACTAAAGTTATATGGAAGGCAAAATGGGGTCAGTTTAACACAGCTTTTCCATATATCCCAATATATTTTTGCATGCTTCCATTATTTTTTTTACCATACAAAAACTAAACGATTTTACAAAAACCAACGACTACCAGCGTCAAAATTATTAGTCTCTGTGATGTTATTTGTGCCTCCATTTTTTGCTGGGTAACAGTCTGCAGTCCTTTTGTCCTGTTGTAGTTTTCAGCAAGTCTCGAACGTGCCTCCTGAGCAATCCAAGCCCATTCTTCTTTGTCCTACTCTCAAGCTCCTCCAGATTTGATGGTGTTCTTGGATGGACCTTGGTCTTCAGTTCACCCTGTAGATTTTCAGTGACATTTAAGTCAGGGCTTCGTGTAGGCTATTTTTTTTTTTTATCATTTTAAAAGACAAAGTGATAATCCAGACTCAGTTTTGCTGCAGATTGCTTACAGTTTTAGTTCATATTCTTCATGATTCCTTCCACCTTGAAGAGATTCCCAGTTCCAGATGCACTGTAGCATCCTCACAGTATAATACTTCTACCACCATGTTTCACTTTGGGGACTATTCTTCTAGTTGTACTCCTCTTCTCCAGACATAATCAGCATTTCTATGGCCAAAGAGCTCTAGTTTCGTCTCACCTGACCAAAGAACATGCTTCAAATATGCATATTTTTTTCTTCAGAATGTCCTTAGCATACTTCAGTCTGCCTTGAAAGGATCTCTTCTGCAGAAGTGGTGTTGTGTTTTTCCTCAGTCTGCAAGCTCACAGTCTATTCTTGTGCAGTGTTCTTGTGATTGTCTACTTTGAGACTAAAACTCCTGAAGTCATTCACTAGTGTCTTGGCAGTTGTTCTGGGGTCTTTAGTCACATATCTCACTATTTTTCTTTCCAGAGTCATTGAAATCTTTCACTGCCAACCTCTTACTACCTCTGCCAGGCTTGTGGCTTTCTTTCAATTTCTTGATCATACTTTTCACTCCAGTTCTTGACACTTGAAAACACTGTGATAACTTAGTATATTTATCTTCTGCTTTGTGAGCGTCAACAATTCTTTTTACGAAATCTAAACTGATTTCTTTTGGTTTTGGCATGCTCACTTAAGTGACAGCTCCAAACCCTGGTTTGAGTTTTTATATCGTGTGTAAAGTGGAAGATAACGCTCATTTGTAACTTGTTGTTACAAGGTTTGAGCATTCCAAAGTTAAAGCACATCATTGCACAGCAGTTGTTTCTGTTAACGCTCAATAAAAAAATCTGTATTTCAGTATTTTGATTCAAATTTGAATCAAATTGATCTGGAAACTAAATTAGCACAGGTATCTTTTCTGCAGTAATCTATGTTCAGAGGTAAGTTCACTAGTACCCATGCTACAGTATTGCTTAGTATTGTTTAGCAGGTTTGTGTTGTTGGGAAACTAGTACACTTAATCAGATTGAGAAAAGTTAAAACTTGGGGTGGCCAGAGTTATTTATATAGTAAAATGAGTTATTTTAGCCTTAAACAGATTTTTGTAGATATAAATGAGATGGTATTGTAACGACGTAAAACTGATAGTATTTTCTTTTTAAGTATAAGTGTATGGAACGTCATTTTAGCCTGTTGCTAGGTGACTGGAAGGCAACATGGCTGACCTAATAATATCTGATATAGATAAGAACCTTCGGTGGCCTAAGACCTATCTGTGTGCTAGGTTTGGTTGTTCTAATCCTGGGGGCTAGTAAGATGACATAGCCTGTCAGTGCATGGCCCAGGGCCTCGCTGCTGGATCTCCAACCAAGTCTCTGCAAATCTGACTATGAAAAACAACTGAATATGATATTCTTTTTTTTTTTTTTGGCTAGCCTAACTATCTTGACAGTTTTTTTTTTTTCATCTCCTATTAATGTAATCTGACAAGTAACATTGCTTGTGTATTTAACAGATAGTCTCAGTGTAGGAGTCATTTAAATTCGATGCAATCTGAAGTGAATTTAAAAAAACAAACAAACAAAAAAACAGATCACTTACTAACAGATCAGGAACAGCAGTCAGGTAAAATATATTTAAATGAATTGGATCACATACAGTCAGCATAATCATAATCATTTCTTTATGTTAATATTTCAAGCACAGACAGCTGTTCGAATTCAGCATCTGAGAATGGAAGAAAGCGCTGAATGACCCGCTGGAACATCGATGAAGTGTTTGAAATGTGGGCTCCTTGGCTCAGTTTGTTGATATAATCCTAGACTATACAAACAAAGTACGTGGCTGCAAGCAGACATAAAAGCACAATGCTGAGCTAAGCTTCCAGGTTGTGTTATTGACTGAATTCATTTGTGCATTATTTTGTTTTGTCTTAACCAAACGATCAAGGTGCCACAATATTTCTTAATGAACACTCGCCATGAAGGCGAATTTAAGTGCAACTGCCTAGTAACAAATCCAAATATCCTCTGCATCATCTGTAATTCATCTGAAGACAATGATGGTTGTACCCATTATATAGTGTAAGCCTAACCATGTGTTTGGAAAAATGTGTTTGCAGAAAATAGCGGAAGGTTTAGTCCCACAGACAATATTACTGCCTGAAACCTTAAGTGTTCTGCTTCCACATCCTCTTATGATCCACTAGACATTCTTCTTCATGGGGGGTGATGGATGACTTAACCCAGAGAAGTGCTCTTTGCTGCAGTTGACCCAGATTGAGCTGCATGTGTCAAATGTGTTTGTGTGTGCTTGTTGTTGCCCTGGCAATTTGGAAAATGTGAGGCAGAGGAGGATTTCTCCTTTTTTGTGCTTGTGTGTATGAGTGAGGGTATCACACTAAAAGAGAGAGGTGTGTGTGTGTGTGTGTGTGTGTGTGTGTGTGTGTGTGTGTGCGCGCGCGCGCATGTGTGGGGCGGAGGGAAGACAGGAAGGCACGTTTGTTGCACAGCGTGACTGACAGAAGTGATATATATGACCCTTCATCTGACTCTAACAGAGACGCACGGTGTTGTAACTCATTGGGTGTGAACACTCATGGGTTTCTGCAGGATTAATGTCAAATGCAATAGAAGCATAACGCTAATCCTCTCAGCTCTTGTTCTAAGATACAAAGTAGCTTCGTAAGGATTTCCGACTCCTCTGATCAATTGAAAACAGTCGTCTTGCATCCTTTCTCACAGTGCTGGGTGGTTCAGTCAAAGTTTCATTCTGATTGGAGTAAAGTTTCTAGTGTTTTGGGGTTGTTGTTTTTTTCATTATACTGCCACACAGCTATTTTCTAACTAATGCTGCGGCATTCGAACAGCAACAAGTGTCACAACAAGTCTTCCCTCAATCAAAAATCTGTGTGTGAGAGTCCAGAATTAATTTTCCCTATCTCCTCTCCTGCTTGTTGTCTCTTCAGAGCCACCCAGCATCACTGAAGCTCCTGATTGAAGTGGAAAGTGAACAGCTGCTCCTGGCTCTAGAGAAAAATGAGTAAGTGTCCCTCTTTTCATACATGCCTTTAGCTTACAACTGCGTGGTTTCTGGAGTACAAATAGGTGGCATATGCGGTGCCCAGGGGCTACAACTGGGGATCTATCCAAAGAACAAGAGGGAGGAAGTGTCTCTTTGCGCTGTGGTGTGGGCATGCCAGGGCTCTCTGTGCTCAAGTCTTTTTGTGTGCTGAAACAAAGACTTGAAAGATAGAAATTCCTGGAAGCATCAGCCAGACTGATGAAAACCGACGTCTTCTTCCTTCTTCTCCCTCTATCTTTTCATTTGATCTATTGGCATAAGACGGGGGAGAAGGAGGCTTTGTTTGAACACCGCAGACACCCAGCGCTCTGCGTATTAAGATACTGTCAACATGATGTCAGTTAAGGGACTGGCGAGGAGGAGTAACATCATTTGAAAGAGATGAGGTCATTGGCGGAGATAGATTTTGACAGAGATGTAGCTATGGAAGTGTTAGGAGGAATATTTGTCATCTTTGCATTTTTACAGAAGGACTCATTCAATGTGGCCTCAGACAGTCGGAGTTGAGCGTACTGCTGAGAAGGATGGGGCGTGATTGATGGAGCAATATGTTTTCCATCCAGCCTGCTGCCACACATGAGCAACCAGGAACAAGCAGAGCTGTCTGTGTGATGGAGAGAAAGCGGGCGAGGGAAGCAGAGAGAGAGTGTGAAAGGGTTTTTATACCATCGTTAGCCATGAATCTCACTTGTTTTCCAGACTTAATATATGTAAATTCCACCTGCAAACTGTGGGACAAAGCTTTCAACACTAGCTACAGCAATTTTTATGGCTCGCCTGCGCTGAAAATATTTTTTTATTGGAAATCACACTCGTTTTTTTTTTTCCTGTTGAATATTCATGCTTTGCACAGGTGGGGATTTTGCAAAGCTGTCTTTCAGATTGTCAGATTTTCCTCCGCTATATTTCATTTTAAAATGGAAACAAAGCTTTTCCCACAACCAGCAGCAGTGGAAACACCTTACGTTCTCATACATCGCCCATCTGATTTTCATTCGGCATGACTGCCATCATTGTCCTGTGGCTTGAAATGTAAAGTCCTGTGTTAGTTTCAAAGCCATAGCCAAGAGGAACAAACAGAGATGATGGAGAGGTGCAATCTAGATCTTTCTAATGAGCTTGAGCATGATGGAACGACTTTAGTCAAACAAACCTCCGTGCTTTCCAAATACCAATCTGTCACAATGTACTGTCAACGCTTGCAGCAAGTCTAGAGAAAAAGGTTTAATTACTATCAATGAGTGTTCTGTCGCAAGTCAAAATAATACTTCATCAAAAAAATAGCTACTTAATGCCATATATGTTTGACAAGACAAAACACACACAAAGGACATGAGTTGAAAGAGACGTGTTGATAAGTGTGTTGGCTTTAGTCGGTGTCGACAGCGAGAACAGAACCTGCTGTGCTGACTTTTAGTGAAGGTTCTTGTCTGAGGTTGCTGGCAGACTGGCTCTACGTCGCTGATGAAACCCAGTTGTTCAAACACAGCCGACATCTGTAGAGGTAGGAAAAAAAATGTTCCAGGATGAAGAGATTTGAATTAAGCACCCAGATTTCTTTATTTATTTTTGGGGTTTCTTTTCTTTTTCAGAAATCTGTTAATAAATATTGCTGGCTACAAAACATGATTGAGGTTTCACTGCACGGTTGAATGTGATCAGTTCAGCCGTAATGATAGGTGAACGTGATCTGTGTGACAGAGTAGCGGTTGCTGCCTTTTTCACAAAGTTCATCAAATGCATTTTCTTTCACATTTTTTAAATGCGTGTTGCAAAACTTAAGTCAAAAAAACACATTTTTGCAACTATTACCGGGTTGTTTTTCACTTAAAGATTAAAAACATATAACGTATATCTTCATCCTTTTTTTTAAGGTGTTAGCCCAGGAACCCAAACCTTTAGACACAACTGAGCCAACGGTAAGGTAACAACTCTGGTGTATAGTTAAAAAATGCAGCTGTAACTGGCACCTTGTCATTTTCAATTACTGTATTAGTTTCAGTCAATATTTAAGAGGATCTCTGGTGTTTCTGTGATGGTGAGTTGCGTAGTGTCTGTGGCACTGATGACATTTGGAAAGCCTGCAACATGATGAAAACTCTTCGTGATTCTTGAAATGTGTTGTGCGCGGCGGTACGGAAAATGCTTTGGTGTCTGCTCTTTGGCATTAAGGGCTGCGGAAGCACGAGACACCGACTTCAGATATTCCTACAACATCCCCGGACACACTCACAAAGCAGCCTGTTGTCAGGATGGAAAGGGCGCTTGCCGCCTGGAGCAAAATGTCAACGTGTGTCAATGTGTGAACTTGCACTTTTAACTGCAGTTCAAAAACTTGCTGCCCGACCGCACTGTTGAACTAAAATATGTAAAGTAAAAAAGAAATGAAAGCAGAATGAAATAAGCTCCAGACTGCTACCTATTTGATTTAGATTACGCTTTTGGATGTATGCACATCAAATAAATTTTTATGTGGATCAAGTCACTGAAACATCCAGCAGGTATTGCTTGCAGAGGGATTCCATCTAAAATAATATTAGCAGTGGTAAGACATTAAGACATTTTAAACATCCCCCGCTGCAGACAAATTAAAGTCCCTACAATACAGATGTTGAACATGATTTACATTTCCCACCTGTGAAAAATAATCTGTTTTTATGTGAAATGCATATTCAGCAGATGAGTATCGCACTGCAAGCTTAAGTGATCGCACTATTTGCCCGGTGGGTGTACATCATTCCACATTTTCTGACTCTAAAAGCTCCAGTTGAACATGATGAAGCAACACATTGTTTCATTTACTGCAAAGAGGTTGGCTGTTGAGATGCCACTAGGCATCCTAGACTCGTCCTCTTGGATCGGTTTTGTTAATAGGAGACAGTCAAAATGAGACTTGGTGTTGTCTTTGTTTCTTATTACTAGAAGGTTAAAGACCTTAATTACAGGCTGTGGCAATACTCAGAGGGAAAGTAAACAGAATGCACAGCATATACTGCTGTATATATCTCATTACTATTGCATATACTCTCTGTTCTCATTTCCTTTGTCACTGTTTGAAGCATTCATTCAGATTCTTGCCTTTGCTGGGTGAGAGAGGCTTATGCACATTTAGTCTAGTTGTGACAGTTACTGAGCTTTGACCTCAGGGTATTGAACCACTTCTGGTCAAGCTGTTATAGCAGCTCTTGCTGCTTTGTGCCTTTGAATGTGAAGCCTCCAGGCATATCAAGATGAGTCCCAAGCTAAGCAGGCAGCATACTCTCCATCCATATTTCCCTTTCTAAATGGACTGCAAGAGACTGAAAGAAAGCCTGGGGCTCATCAGCTGGGTGGAGAATGTTTTTGGTTGCTTACGCTTGAGGTTTCTCGCTGCTCATCATGGCTTATAGCCTTGAGCATAATGTGCTTGGAGGTTGGCTATTCATCTTCTGGAGTCTTTTGTGTTGTCAGACAAACAATCACAACGGAGCAAACATCGATGCAGATCCACAATCCTAAAACTGGCCCTTTCCCTGGACAGAGGGCAGACAGGAAATGTTTCCTGGCTGCAAACTTCTTCTATCACTCTGGTGCTTGGCAAAACAAAAGAGACAGAGTCCAGACACAGTTTGTCCTAATTTGCGTATTGGACTTTAAGATGTTATTTGATTCCATGTCTTGGAATGGACCACTGCTGGCCTGTGACCTGTTGCTTCTCTCAACGAAGACATTCTCATGTCTCACTGAAAACACGGTTAGGAATGGGCCTCTCCTGGGGAGCTGAACAAACAAAAGGCTAAAGACTCTGCATAAGTGTTATTGTTCTCGTCTAAGCCACACACAGATTGTTTAAGGAACATCAAAACCAAAGATGCTCATGTGTATCAAATCGTCGCTCTTGCTATAGAGCTAAGATTGAGACAAAGAGAGCATTAAATCTTTCTCCAGTATATACATGAAACGACATGGATTATTTTTTTTCTCATTATGATTTATACAAGACTAGAACGTGTGAAATAACGACATCTTAACGATAATGTTTCTGAGTGCACCTTGCAGATATACTCTTTTTTTTTTTTCTCCCCATGACAACTTTTTTCTTAAAGGTGATTTTTCTTTTTTTTAATGATTGATGCAATATTTGGCAGTTTGTATTTCACTGCAGCACAGATGAATGGGTAATTATAGTCAGCTCCTACACTGTATTTTTTTTATTCCCCCCTGTTAAAGGTTGAAAGAATAATCCTAAACTATGCTGGCCTAAGTCTTTAATGCATCACCCTGAATGATCATCTCAGGGATGAACAAGAAAATCTATTTTTAGCCAATGAAATCGGGCGACATCATCAGCGGCGATGACGATTCCAACGCCAGTGAACGGCGATGAATTTTCATCCGTGACTTGATTGACTTTAGATTTGATCTTTATGTGCATTTAAATTGCTGTCTGTCTGCTGAAGTGTTTTGTGTGCGTAATGAACTGTGCATTTGCTCAGGTGACGATTTGATCTAATTGTAAAAGACTGTGTCCCGCTAAGCCAACAACCAGTGATTGAAACCCAGTGATAACCAGTTTTCTTGAGCAGCACTTATACTGAAAACCTATTGAATTTCTCCCTATTGCTTCCTGCGGTACAAAAGTATGAAAAAGTAAGGTGGAATTTAATTTCATTAGGCGATACCTAAATACATCTTCCCTCCTGTTAATGCTGCATAGATCCAGTAAATGTATTTTTTTGAAAGAATGTGTCTCATGTATAGACAGAAATATACATGAGCTTTCTTTTATCACTGAAACACACAAACACACTATAGTCTAAAATTCATTCAGAACCAGGAAACCTTTTTCTCAGCGAAGGATGCACTGAAGCTTAACTAGCCTTTGTACCTTTCTTGTTACCCTTGCGGCTGCAAGGCCATGATACACTGTGATTCATTAGTTTCAAAGACAAGCCTTGGAAATAGGCTCATCTTTTCCA